CTCTCTCACACTCCTCGCCTCTCTCACACTCCTCGCCTCTCTCACACTCCTCGCCTCTCTCACACTCCTCGCCTATCTCACACTCCTCGCCTCTCTCCCACTCCTCGCCTCTCTCACACTCCTCGCCTCTCTCATACTCCTCGCCTCTCTCACTCACACTCCTCGCCTCTCTCACACTCCTCGCCTCTCTCACACTCCTCGCCTCTCTCACACTCCTCGCCTCTCTCACACTCCTCGCCTCTCTCACACTCCTCGCCACACTCCTCGCCTCTCTCACACTCCCCGCCTCTCTCACACTCCTCGCCTCTCTCACACTCCTCGCCTCTCTCACACTCCTCGCCTCTCTCACACTCTCGCCTCTCTCACACTCCCCGCCTCTCTCACACTCCTCGCCTCTCTCACACTCCTCGCCTCTCTCACACTCCTCGCCTCTCTCACACTCCTCGCCTCTCTCACACTCCTCGCCTCTCTCACACTCCTCGCCTCTCTCACACCCTCGCCTCTCCCTTCCCTTTGTGCCATCTATTCCTGCCCGCCGCTCTCTCCCTCCGCTCCCCACTCCCCGCCCTCTTTCCCCCCACGCGGCAAGCAAAGATGGTGGACGTGGTGTGTGAGCGCGTGAAGAAGGTCAATCTCGACGTGCGCAAGGCGCATGCCATCAGCGCATTCCAGGCAGCGGCCAGCGTGGCGGCGGTGTTCGGCAAGTGCAGCACGGACAAGGCTGCTCTGACCCGCAGGGCTGAACAGGAGAAGCTTCTCAGAAATGCACTGGCCACAAGCGAGGGTGTGTGGGGGGGGGAAGGGCGTTCGTGCCATTTGCTGTGTATTGACCCATCTGCCGCTTCACACACTCCTGTCCCCCCCTGCTCACTCTCTTTTCACCTTTTCTCACCCCTCATTTCCCTTTCACTCGCCCCTTTCCCCTTGCTGGCTCTCTTTTCCCCTTTTCTCACCCCCCTTCCTCCCGTCTCGCTTCCTTCCGCCATGCTCATTCTCAAACCCCCATCGTTCTACCCCTGTTCCCGCCACTCTCTTTCCCAATGTTCACATCCTATTCACTCTCTCTTACTGTCTTTCCCCTTTCACTCACCCCTTTTCCCCCCATGCAGTGTACTGGTGCCCAGCACCGAGTGTTGTCACATTAGCATGGGTCGTGGTTTATTGCATTCAGCGTAGCAGAAGTAGCGCAACATTTCGTAGCTTTGTTGCTGTATTTGGGCCAACAATCATTTGTGTTTTCAGAAAATATGCTGATTGTTGCCCTTCTTGGCACTGATCAATAGTGAAATATTTCAAAACGCCAATACATGGCATGGCTTCGCCATATTACTGTCCAACATCCAACACATCACAACTAGATGCATAGTACAAACACAAACCAGAAAATCAAATGCGACATAAAAGGTGAGGCATGGATGAAGGGAGGAATACATGAAGGGAGTAAGGAGGACGAGAGAGACAGCTGAACTAAAAGGGATGTGGGGAGGGAGGATGGGAGAAAGAGGGAAATTCAGGAAATGAAGGATGTGAGGTAGGGCAGCAGGGGGGAGTTGATGAAGGGATAAAATGGAGGAATGGAGGACGTGATGAAGGGAGGAAGGGCTGTAGGGATGACGGGAAGGTGCGTGGGAGACCTGTGACAAGTCCCTGACTGAGCATGCCACGAAGGCGAGGGATCGACGGGTGGCCAATGCGGTGGTGCCACAGGACGGTGCGGTGGGCAAGAGAGCGACAGGAGCAAGACGCAGCGACTGGACTGGACACAGCGACCGGACTGGACACGACTACCTGGCTAGACACAGCAACTGGACTGGGGACCTGGGCCGGAGGGGACGCAGCGACCTGAGGGGAGGACGCGACCGGGGAGCGCTCGGTGTGGAGAACGTAGAGACCGGAGCGGGGCTCCCTGGTGAAAGTGGCCAGAACAGCACCTGTGGTAGCGTCAGTACAGACTGCAGTCCGCCCACCCCCCACGAAGGTAACCGTGATCCCCCTGTCCTGGAGGTATCCAACACCCACCAATTTCCGAGTGAACGAGGGGATGTGGAGGCCGCGCAGGACACCAGAGGGGACCACAGGGCACGGGAGGGTGGTGGAGCTACGTGCAACGGCTGGTCCAGAGGTAGGATCAGCCAGAGCCACCGACACAGGGGTGAGGAGTGGCGTAAGGGTCGTGTGGTCGCGGAAGAAGCACTGAGACGCGCCCGAGTCCAGCGTGAACGACAGAGAGGCCTCAGCCGGAGGGTCACCTGACCCAGTCGCTACACAAGCACCTAGAGCAGCAACAAAAGCACCTAAGCTAGACAGGCACAAGGCTACACTATCAGGAAGCAAGCAGGCTAACCTACGAACACGCGAGCACACAGACCCATCAGCACTAAAGACAGCATCAACATACAAAGCATGCTGATGCGCATCGTCCATGGACGGATCAAAGACATCAATCTTACGGGCTAACAGGCGAGACCAGCGAGGCGTGACCGCCAGAGGGCCCCAACGAGCCCGGTAGAGGTCGTCGAGGCGGCGGAAGCACCGCGCGGCAGAGTGGCCGTCGCGACCACAGAGACAGGGGCTGCCCGGCCCGGTGAGGCACCAGTGGGTGCAGGGGCCAGCGTCACGGCGAGGGGGGCGAGGGGCCCAGCTGGAAGAGCTGCTGCTGCGGCCGGTGCTCCCAGGGCCTCCCGGACCCACTGCGGCGGAGGACCCCAGTGCTGCTGCGGACCCCACTGCAGCGGGGGCCCCAACTGCTGGAACTGCTGCGGTGCCTGCTGCTGCTGCTGTCCCTGCTGTGGCTGGTGCTGCTGTGGCTGCTGCTGCTGGGGGACAACGCCCCCACCGGTCGGGCCACCACCTGGGGGTGGGCCTGTCTGTCCTGCACCTCCTCCAAGGCCCCCTCCCCCTGGCGCACCACCGCCGCCGCCGCCGCCTCCGCCACCACCGCCGCTCCCACCTCTACCGCCACCTCCACCGCCACCTCCACCGCCCCCACCTCCCCCCTTCCCGCCCTTCTTGCCACTCTTGCCCCGTTTCTGCCAGTCTGCGGCAGAAACGGCAGCGGTGTCCTCAGAGACCGACACAGCAGCAGAAGCGCGGGTAGAGGTGAAAGTGGGAAGCTGAGGGGCGGCACACCCCGCAAAGAGACGGGGGGCCACCGCATCATTGGCGGAGGCAACGGTGAGGAGGCTGCTCTCGATGGTCCTGAGAGCAATCTGAAGGAGGTTTATAGTGAGCTCAGTGGGGTGCTTCTGAAGAAGCGTGTCGCGGGCAGTGGCAAGGCGATCAGGGAGGCGGGTGACTAACCAGTGCACAGTGAGCCACATGGGGGGGGGAGCAACAAGGAGCTGTGCGTCGGTACAGGCTGAACGAAAACCGGCGTCAAGCGAGCGGAGGTGAGTCACTAGGTCGGAAACAGTCGCAAACGAGCCTAGGTCGGGAAACACGAACGGCATGAGGAGGCGACTGAGGGAGGCAGAGGAGGGGGTGGAATAGCGAGCCACAATAGCACGAGAGAGCCACACGTCCCGAGCCAGGACCCGACGGTCGTAGTCCGCCTGGGCCGTAGGAGTGGGCTCCGGGGCGGTCGGCAGGGCGGCGGGGGACGGGGGTGCCGCGAGAGCACCCGACGCGTGGGCCCACAGAGTGGCGCCGTCCTGACGCTGGCTGGTGAGGAAACGTGTGGTCTGGCGCTGCCAGGTACCGAACTCGATCGGGCGTCCCTCAGCATCGAAACGGAGGCGACGGGCCTCCATAGCGGAGCCCATGCTAGAGGCGACTGGAGCACGGCGGAGGCGAAGCTAAGAACGAGGAGGAAAACTACGGAGGGCAAGGGACGCCAGCGGGGAAAACGACGAGAGACAGTCGGCGAGAAAATAGTCGTGGGGCGGGGCTCTAACCTGTTGAGTGATGCTACCATTCGCATTCACGTCTGTCTGCCTCCCATCATATGTTCGTGCGTTGCATGCGTGTTGTGAGTGTGTGCAAGAATTTGTGTTTTGTGCGGTTTGGTTTTTCTGAGTGTGTGTGTGAATGTTATTTGGCTTGAGCAGATATCTGAAGTGACTCCTCTGCTCAAGAGCTTTCCGAGGAACCAAGTATCGCTTCAATCGGAGCACGAACTAGAAAGTTACGAACGTTGGAGTTCGTATGCTTTTGATATTTGGTTGTGGTGACTATGGGAAGTTGTGGGGTTGACTCAATATGGGGTACAGACTTTTGGGGGTTGGGAAATTCGTCTTTTCTACTGTAGTTGCTGCCAAATGGTTGGGAGAAACCAAACCAGGTTGGCAAGTGTGGCCAAGTTGGGTTGAGGTGGATTGTGGAGGTTGGGATAGTGACAAAGGTCAAAGTTGGGTTGCCTATCGGGAAGGGAATTGTATGGCATGGGGTTTCCTTGGTTGGGGACTCTCTTGGGACCTTCCCTCTCGTCCTCCTCATCCCCTCCTACCTGGTTCTATTGCTACTCTAACTTTCTTGTGTGAACTTGTGAGATAATTGTGATTGAGTTACGTTTTCTATGGCAGCATACCCCCCAGTGCGCCGAAGTTCATAACTCGAGTTATACTCCATATTTCGATACTATTCAAATTGGGAAAGATAGCCACGGTCAAGGGCTACAACATACTCGAGTTTGAAAGAATTCTAACAGTGGACCTTTCGTCGACGACGTTTCTTGTGACGACGACTTTTCTGTCCAGAATTGTAGTTGACGATTTTGAGATATTTCAGCCCCTAATCTTCATAGACTCCGTCCTTAGTCTCTAACAAAGTGGTATCAGAGCTGATTAAGGACCTTGTGGGGAGTCTACTGAAGTGTGAAGACCCTCCTAGACCCACCATGGCCTGTGGGCGTGCCTAAGTGGAGTTCTGGAGGTTGGATGTGACTTCCGCTAAGGGGAAACTCTGCCGAAATTTCGTTGGCGCTGACACTTGTGAAGATTGTGTGGATCTACATTGTGACCAGCAAAAGGGGGAGCTGAAACCTCTGATTGGGAGCAGAGGAGATGAATCAAGGGAGTGGAGATGCAGCTGAGAAGAGGAGTGAGCCGCCACCATCCAAGATTGAAGCTTTGGATGGCTCCAACTATGAGGAATGGAGCGGGCGGATGCGGAGCGCCTTCAAGCGCTACAAGCTGCTGAAAATTGCAATGGGAGAGGAGAAGATGCCGGGGGAAGGAGATGCCCGCGATCGGTGGATTGAGAAGAGCGCGGTGCTGTACGACCTCATCCTCCAATCGGTCAACAACGACATGTTCCAGCACATCAAGGATTTGGTGGAGTTGGATGATTCCGGACCGAAGGCATGGAAGCTGCTACGCGACGTGATTCAGCCCAACACGCTGCCGATGGTGATTGTGTTGGAGAAGGAGTTGGCTGCCCTCTCCATGAAACCGGGAGATGATGTGAAACCGGTCCTTGACAAGATCAAGGACACCTATGCGAGGATGGCAGCGGCGGGCAGCGAAGTGTCGCAGATGCAACAGTGCACCAAGATCATCTCGGTGCTCGACAACTCGTGGGACAACCTCATCCCCACCCTCAACGTTCAGCAGGACAAATGGACGCCTGAGTGGCTACGGCAGCAGATTCTGCAGGAGGACTTCCGCAGACGCCACACGGGAGGTGGTGCTGCCAACAAAACTGCTGAGGGGTATGGAGCTGCAGGAGGCAGCAGAGGAAGAGGGGGAGGGAGAGGCCGAGGCCGTGGGAGAGGTTTTGGCAGAGGGAGAGGCCGAGGTGACTACAATGAGGGGCATGGGAGCTCTGGTGGCAGGGGGAGCACCCGAATGGAGGGTGCGTGCTGGTACTGCAAGAAGGCTGGACACCCGTGGTTCAAGTGTTTCAGCCGGCCTGAGGGATGGGCCCCTCCAGGCATGAAGCCGCCAAGTGGTGAACGTGCACGCGGTGGCGCTGTGCAAGGTTCAGGTGCACAAGGTGATGGTGCACAAGGTAAAGCCCACCCTGGGATGTTCCTCATGGTTGAGGATGTGCAAGGGAGTGGGGGTGATGTGGGTTCAGTTGGGAAGGTTGTGATGCACCCCCTCACTCACTGGGTGATCGATTCAGGTTGCACGAGTCATATGACCCCACGGGCAGATTTGCTTGATGAGGTAAAACCTCCTGGGAAGATCAAGTTTGTGGCTGCCGCTTCAGGTGCTTTGCTCCCTGTGATTGGTGTTGGGAATGCCAAGGTGATGGGAGCCAATGGAGAGCTTGTGGGGCTTGGGAATGTGCTGTTGGTTGAAGGTTTGTCCGCTAACCTTCTTTCTGTGCGCCGGCTGCAGAAGAGCAAGGCTGAAGTTACCTTCGGCCCAACCAGCTGCCGTGCAAAGCTTGGGAAGTTGCTGCTGTGGAACTTGGAGGAGAAGAGCAGCTGCATCAAGGACTTGTGGCAGCTGCCCATCATCCCTTGGAAGGGGAAACCACCAGCAACGGCAAAGGCAGCGGCAGCGGCTAAAGCAACTGCGGGAGGAGAGGAGACTGCACCAACTGCTGGGGCCCTGGATGCAGTCAAGAAGGTGCAGCAGCCACAACAGCCACATGGTGAGGTGCTTGCTGGTGTGGATGCGACAGCTGCATGGGCAAAGGCTTCATCTGGGAGTGGTGAGGCTGATTGGGAGACGTAGCATGAGAGGCTGTGCCATGTGAACATTCCTATGCTGCAGAAGTTGGTAAAGGATGGGTGCTTGAAGGGGCTGGAGGTGAAGGGGGGAGCAAAGGAGATTGGGAGCTGCCCTACCTGCCTTGAGACCAAATTCACGAAGTTTCCCTTCAGCAGCAGCACAGGACCAGCCAAGGCACCACTTGAACTAGTGCACATGGATGTGGTGGGCCCCACGAGGGCCCTTTCTCTCTCGGGCAGCCGCTACTTCTTGACGATTGTGGACGACCACACGCGTGCGGTGTGGGTGTACCCTCTCAAGACTAAGGGGGAGGTGGCAGCGGCTGTTCTTAAGGAGTGGATGCCGAGAGCACAAAGGGAAAGCGGACACAAGGTGAAGGTGATCCGCACTGACAACGGAGGAGAGTTCATCGGCGCTGATTTTGAGAAGGAGCTGAAGCGGAAGGGGATCCAGCATCAGCTCACAGTGCCTTACAACCCTCAGCAGAATGGCGTGGCTGAGCGGTTCAACCGGACCCTGCAGGAAGGTGCTCGCACTCTCCTTGGGCGTGCAGGGCTGCCGGATCCGTTTTGGGTGACAGCACTGCGGCAGGTCGTTGTTGTGAAGAACAGGGTGCTGGCGACTGTGGGGGACAAGCAGTGGGTCCCCTACACCAAGTGGTATGGGATTGCACCAGCTGTGAACATGCTGAGAGCCTTTGGGTGCATGGTGGTGTTTCATGTGCCTAAGGAGAAGAGGGGAAAACTGGAAGCTTCTGGGAGATGGGGTGTGCACTTGGGGCTTGCTAAGGATCACAAGGGCTGGCTGATTTGGGACTTGACCAGCCAGCAGCTGACTGTGTCAAGGGATGTGAAGTTCCTTGAGTCCTTGTACTACAAGGAGTGGAAGCAGCAGCAGCAGCAGAAGCTTCCAACGACACCGCTAATTGTCGAGGCCGATGAGGTGCAGCGGCCTTCAAGGCAAGTGGAGGTTTCTGTCTCTGAGAATGAGATCTCTGGGGTGACAGAGGATGGGGGAGAACCTGAGGTGGAGGAGCAGCAGCAGCAGCAACAGCAGCAGCAGCCGCAGCAGCAGGAGGAGCAAGGTGCTCCACAAGGTGCCGGACGTACGGCTGACCGTCCTAGGAGGGATGTGCGCCCTCCTAACAGGCTGACCTATGCAAGCCGTGGCAAGCCAAAGGTGGTAAGGGCTGGGAGTGTGGCTGAGCAGTGTGATGAGGATGAGATAGCACACTGCTACTGGGCAGCCGTCCCTGAGCCCAAGACGCTAGCTGAGGCATTGAGCGGGCCCGATGCTGAAAAGTGGAAGCAGAGTGTGAAGGAGGAGTATGATTCTCTGCTAGAGAATGAGACGTGGGAGCTGTGTGAGCTGCCACCTGGGAAGAAGGCCATTTCTTCCAAGCTGATTTTCAGGCACAAGTACGGACCTGATGGGGCGCTGACCCGCTACAAGTCAAGGCTTGTGGCTAAGGGGTTTCAGCAGACAAAGGGAAAGGACTTCAACGAGCTCTATGCTCCTGTGGGGAAAGGCACAACACTTCGGGTGTCATTGGCAATGGCAGCATACCGTGGATGGCGGGTGAAGCAGATGGACATCACCACCGCCTTCCTCAATGGGATCATTCAGGAGGAGCTGTACATGTTACAGCCTGAGGGTTTGGATGATGGGAGCGGCAGGGTGTGCAGGCTGAAGAAGGCCATCTATGGCCTGAAGCAGGCTCCTCGTGCATGGTACCACAAGTTAGAGGAGACTCTGCTGGCTGGGGGTTTCAAGAAGAGTGAGTGTGATCACAGCTTGTTCCTGCTGCAGGAGAAGGAGCAGTTTCTCATGCTCCTGGTGTATGTGGATGACATCCTGCTCTTCTCTGAGTCGTCTGCAATTATTGAGCATGTGGAGGAGATGCTGGAGATGCAGTTTAAGTGCTCCAAGATGGGAGATGTGAAGTACTATTTAGGGATGCATGTGGAGAGGGACCTTGACAAGGGAGTGTTGAGGTTGCACCAGAGAAAGTATTGTGAGGGGCTGGCTGAGAAGTATGGGCTGCAAGATGGAGGAAAGCCAGCCACCCCACTGCCTTCGGGGTTCACTGTAGAGCCCTGTGCTGATGAGGAGGTGGTGGGTGAGAGTGACAGGAAACTTTTTCATTCCATGGTTGGGGCACTCAAGTATGCGGCTAACCACACACGGCCTGACATTGCCTTTGCAACATCCAGGCTTGCCAGTGTGGTTTCACGCCCCAGTCATGAGCAGCTGGAAGCGGCCAAGAGGTTGGTCCGCTATGTGAGTGCAACGGCATCAGTGGGTTTGGAGTACAGTGCTGTGAGGCAGAGGCTGCAGAGGAGTGCAGCTGATTTGAGCAAGGGGGAGATGCTCCTGACCTGCTACACTGACGCTAGCTTCAACTCGGTGAAAGCGGATGGCACCAGCATTGGAGGCTATGTGTGCCTGTTCGGAGGTGGTGCAGTGAGCTGGCGCAGTAAGAAGCAGAAAGAGGTGGGGCAGTCCTCGTGTGAGACAGAGTACATGGCCCTGCATCATGGGGCAAAGGAGGTGGTGTGGCTGAGGCGTTTGTTGGAGGAGATTGGAGTTGGTCAGAGGGAGCCGACTGTGATTTTCTGTGACAATGAGTCGGCGGTGAAGCTAGCGAAGAATGCTTGTCTTCATGGGCTGACCAAACACATCAGGCCTAAGTGGCACTGGGTGAGGAGGCTCCTGGACAAGGAGGTGCGGCTGGAGATTGTGAAGACCCATCAGCAGGCGGCTGACATTCTCACCAAGCGCCTGGCTGAATCTGAGCATTGGAAGGGCATGAAGCTTGCTGGGATGAGTGTGCATTGAGGATGCATGCTTGAGCTATGGCATGTGGGATGATGGTTGGCAGCCAGAGGGGGAGTTTGTTGAGTGATGCTACCATTCGCATTCACGTCTGTCTGCCTCCCATCATATGTTCGTGCGTTGCATGCGTGTTGTGAGTGTGTGCAAGAATTTGTGTTTTGTGCGGTTTGGTTTTTCTGAGTGTGTGTGTGAATGTTATTTGGCTTGAGCAGATATCTGAAGTGACTCCTCTGCTCAAGAGCTTTCCGAGGAACCAAGTATCGCTTCAATCGGAGCACGAACTAGAAAGTTACGAACGTTGGAGTTCGTATGCTTTTGATATTTGGTTGTGGTGACTATGGGAAGTTGTGGGGTTGACTCAATATGGGGTACAGACTTTTGGGGGTTGGGAAATTCGTCTTTTCTACTGTAGTTGCTGCCAAATGGTTGGGAGAAACCAAACCAGGTTGGCAAGTGTGGCCAAGTTGGGTTGAGGTGGATTGTGGAGGTTGGGATAGTGACAAAGGTCAAAGTTGGGTTGCCTATGGGGAAGGGAATTGTATGGCATGGGGTTTCCTTGGTTGGGGACTCTCTTGGGACCTTCCCTCTCGTCCTCCTCATCCCCTCCTACCTGGTTCTATTGCTACTCTAACTTTCTTGTGTGAACTTGTGAGATAATTGTGATTGAGTTACGTTTTCTATGGCAGCATACCCCCCAGTGCGCCGAAGTTCATAACTCGAGTTATACTCCATATTTCGATACTATTCAAATTGGGAAAGATAGCCACGGTCAAGGGCTACAACATACTCGAGTTTGAAAGAATTCTAACAGTGGACCTTTCGTCGACGACGTTTCTTGTGACGACGACTTTTCTGTCCAGAATTGTAGTTGACGATTTTGAGATATTTCAGCCCCTAATCTTCATAGACTCCGTCCTTAGTCTCTAACATAACCGAACCTAGGTGGCGCTACCAGAGGGAAGAGCGGCTGCCAGCCGCTGAGCCGGGAGCCAAGTGCAGTAGGAATGGCGTGGGACCAGTGCACAGGTGAAGGGGAGAGAGATGCAGTAAGCGCACAGAGTGATGCGGTAAGGGCACGCAGGTGTGCGGGGAGTGCACGCAGGTGTGCGGGAAGCGCACACAGAGTGATGCGGTAATTGCACGCAGGTGTGCGGTAAGCTCACGCAGGTGTGCGGTAAGCGCACGCTGGTGTGCGGGAAGCGTTGACGGAGGAGGGCGCGCGACATGCGGAGGGGAGGGCACGCGACGATCTAAGGAGGGCGCGCGACGGTTAAGGAGGGCGCGCGACGATGAGGGAGGGCGCGCGGCGGTCTAAGGAGGGCGCACGGCGGTTTTGGAGGGCGCGCAACGGTGGGGGAGGGCGCGCGGAGGTCTAAGGAGGGCGCGCGACTGGCTGGACAGCGCGGGAGGGCGCGGGCTAGGCGCGAGGAGGGCGCGGAGGGCGCGGAGGGCGCGAGAGCACGGAGGGCGTGTAGGGCGTGGAGGCTAGTTAAAAAAAAACGAACGAGGATCTAACCTACTCGTGATACCATCTCAGAATAGGAATGCAACGGAATGAATGACACTAGGAAGTGTGGAAGTACAAATATGCAACGCTAACAATTGTACTCCCTATTGTGCTACTCACTGCAGCCTACAAGCATAGAATTACATTTGACAGTTTTTTGAGAGACGTGTGTCCACTAAAATGAGGATGTTTGTGTGCGGTGGAGAGGTGGAGATCCAGCACTTTAAAACATTTCATTTAACCGGCGTATTGATGTTAGAGACTAAGGACGAAGTCTATGAAGATTAGGTGCCTAAATTTCTCAAAATCGTTGGTCTCTATTTCTGGACAGAATAGTCGCGCTCACAAGAAACACCGTCGACGAAAAGTTCACCGTCAAAACTTCAACAAACTCAGTTATGATGTAGCCCTAGTCCGTGGCTACAATTCCCAATTTGAATCGTATCAAGAGGTGAAGTAAATCTCGACTTATCAATTTCGGCGCACAGGGGGGTATGCTGCCATAAGAACTTAACTTAATCACAAGAGTCTCACACAAGTTTTACAATTGAATTAGAGTAGCACTAAACCAGGTGGAAAGGATGAGGAGGACGAGAGGGAAGGTCCCAAGAGAGTCCCCAACCAAGGAAACCCCATGCCACACAATTCCCTTCCCCATAGGCAACCCAACTTTGACCTTTGTCACTATCCCAACCTCCACAATCCACCTCAACCCAACTTGGCCACACTTGCCAACCTGGTTTGGTTTCTCCCAACCATTTGGCAGAAACTACAGTAGAAAAGACGAATTTCCCAACCCCCAAAGGTATGTACCCCATATTGAGTCAACCCCACAACTTCCCACAGTTGCCACAATCAAATATGAAAAGCATACGAACTTCAACGTTCGTAACTTTCTTGTTCATGCTTCGATTGAAGTGATACTTGGTTCGTCGGAAAGCTCTTGAGCAGAGGAGTCACTTCAGATATCTGCTCAAGCCAAATAACATTCACACACACTCAGAAAAACCAAACCGCACAAAACACAAATTCTTGCACACGCTCACACCACGCATGCAGCGCACGAACACATGATGGGAGGCAGACAGACGTGAATGCATATGATTGCTTCACACAACAATTGATTCCATTGATGTTGAGGCAGCGCAATCGTAGGGCGTTAACATTCTACCAATTGGGAGCCCACCGCGCAAAAGGGGGCGCGGATCCACGGGCGTGAGTGTTTGTACAAGGGGGTAGGAGGTTGGTGGTGGCTGTGGGTACCAGTAGAGCTGTCAACAAGTACAAAATGAAGTTTGTGGTGGCTATGCTTGCGTGCTAGTTTTATTCGGACAGCACCAAAGTCACACCAGAAGGATAACAGATGGTAGATTGCAGGAACAGAGTACAGAGGTGCAACATACAAGTGAAATTTGGGCAATTGTGTGCTATACTGGGGATTGAGAAACGTAGGGCTCCAGTTTTGAGTAATAACAAAGATGAACGGTAACGTGTTATCAATGTAGGGTTTGAAAACGAAGTAATTGGTAGTTTTCGCAGATGTGGGAGTTGGATTGAAGACTGACAGTGAAATTGATATTATGTTCATCCTGACAAACACGATCGTATGCACATGAGTTGAAAATTCAAGGTCTACATGGGTGCCTACTAAGGGACACATCAATGAAGGATCTAGCAACGGATCATACCCAAGGTGCATAGGCCGCTGCGCTAAGGACGGCCGCGAAGGAAGGCAGCCACCAGAGCCTTCTGCTGCAGCCGGGTGAGTACGCGCCAAGGGCCAAAGTCTTCCTTGGCGGCGGTGAGCGGAGGCCTTCACGCGGGTGGCGTGCAGGTCGGACTGGATATGCTCCATGGCGCTGTCGAGGGCAGCGCCGTAGGTGAAGTCGCAGGGAGTGCACGTCCAATATTTGACCCAGTCGTCCAGCCCAATGTAGAGGAGGCCCGGGTCGTTGCGGAAGGCGGTCAGCGCGGCATGATTCCCCAGAAGGTTGCCTGCAAGAGAGGGAGCGGTTGGGGGGAGGAGGGGGGGGGCAGGGGGGGCGAGAGGGTGGACGGAGGTGCAAGAATAAGGGGGGCAGGGAGAGTCGGGGGAGTGGGGCAGGTGGGGGAGGTGAGGGTGAGGACCGAGAGGGGGGGGACCAAGTGGGCTAGTTGGCAGCGGGGGGAGGGCGGTGCAGGGAGGGGGGGAAGGCGCGGGGAAGGGGCGGGGGTGTTTGGAGGCCCAGGCGGGGGGGGAGAAGAGACCAGAGGGGGGTGGAGCGGCCTGCTTGAGAGCGATGTGGGAGAGACCGGGGGGAGGGGGCTGTTGGCAGAGGGGGGAGCCTTGGTGGGGGTCGGGCGGCCCGGTCAGAGCACTGGGGACGGTTGCAGTTGGGTTCCTGAGAGGGTGGGGGGTGAATAGAATGACGGGAGGGGGGGGAAGGCGAGATTGAGGGTAGGGGGAAAGGAGAGGAGGGGAATCGGGAGAGAGGAAGGGGGAGGAAGGAGTCAATATGTGGGGGGAGCAGGGGAGGGTGCAGTTTGAGACGGGGGGATGAGACAGGGGGAGGGGAGCGTCTTCATGCCAGCATAGGGGTGGGCAAGGGGCCCGTCCTCTTGAGAGACCATGGGAGGAAAGGCGCCTGAAGTGGGGGGTATGACGGGAGGGGGCAGGGAGGGGGGATCCGTAAGAAGGTGCAGTCTGCGAGGGGGGGGGGGAGTAGGGGGAGGGTGCGGGTGGGGGGCGGGCTCGTGGGAGGGAGGGGGGTCCGTCCTCACAAGGGGAGGGGGAGGGAGAGTTGTGGGGGGAGGTGTTGAAGTGGGTAGGGGCAGGGAGTGGGGGATCATGGGTAAAGCAGAGGCTCCGAGATGCGGAGATTGCATGGGGGGTGTGTGAGTATGGGGGATTCATGAGGGTGGGCGGAGGCCCAACTGTAGGGGGGGCAGATGAGGGTACGATGGTGGCAAGGGCTGGGCGTCTTTGGGGGGGGGGGGGTTTGCATGCAAGGGTTGGAGAGAGCAGAGAGGGAGGGGGGGGGTGGGGAAGGCGGGAGAGTGAGTGGGAGCCCTACGACATGGGGGGCCAGGGAAGGGAGTGCTGTCGGGGAGAGGTGGGTGACGGGGGTGAAGGCAGGGTGAGGGGGGGGCAGCTGGCGCGGGGAGAGGGGTGAGAGGAGCGAGGGGAGTGGGTAGGGGCAGATTGAAAGTGGGGTTGGCAGGGACCCAGGCGGCCATACGGGGGGGGGGAAGCAACAAGACAGTGGAGGAGGGGGTCTCTTAGGGAGAGAGGGACAGCGGGGGATGAGCGCGGGGGTTGGAGGGGGACAGTGATCTTGCGGGGTAGGGAGAGGGTAGACCAAAGGGGAAGTGGTGACTGGATAGGGGGCAACGGGGGAGCGACGGAGAGGACATCAAAGGCAGGGTGCTTGCGGGAGGAGGAGCGTGACTACCACGCAGCGGCGGAGGGGGAGGAGAATCGGGGTGGCCACAGCAGTGCGCACACGGCGGAGGTCGCGGGAGGATCCGCCAAGCGCGGGTGAGGCAAAAAATGAGGCGCGCAGCGCGGGGGCCGGGTTAGCGCCGGAGGCGACAGCGGCGTAGGCAGCGGTGCAAAGGGCCGGGGCGTTGGAGGCGGCAGCAGTTGCTGCCAGAGAGGGTACGGGGCTTTGCAGAGGCAACGAGGGAGCAGCAACAGCAGCGGGGAGCATAGGAGACTGCGCGGGCTGCGCCAGCGCCGAATCCGAGGAGGTGGAGGGGGAGTTGAAGTTAGCAGGGCCAGCACCAGAGTCCATGCAGGGCCTCTTCGCAGCGGGATGGTTGGGGGAGCTCACGAGGTCATGGATGAGCCCTTCGGGAAAGTCGTCGACCAAGAGATCCTCTTCAGACTCGGCGAGGGTTTCCTCTTCGTCGGCAGACATCGTGAGATTGGGGTTGAAAACCTGCTCAGACAAAATGCAGAAAGTGTAAAGGAGTCGTAGGGGATTGGGACAGGAGAAGTGAGTGAGTGACGAAGGTTGAGGTGAGTTAAATAAGACAAGAGCGAGGGAGCGCCCGAGAGGGAGCGTCAGGATGCAGGGGAGGCAGAGGCGCAGCGGAGGCGGACGGACGTGAGGCCGTGGAGGTGAGGCTCTGATGGGAGCTCGTTGGGGAGGGTTGGCGGGAGGGCGGACGGGAGGGGGAATACCGGGAACTGCATGGGCAGCGAATAGGCAGCGGGAAGCGTGGCGACGTGGCGAGTAAATTGAGGGTCAGAGGTGGGAGTGGGTGCCTAATTGTCAGACCGAAACCCGGGACCGTTCGAGGGTCCGAGCGCTTGCGTGTGGGAAATAAAACTGGCGGCCTAGGCGGCGCGCCGAGTTTCTGAGCCATGTAGTGGGCTCTGCCGGAGGCGGCAAATGATTGAAATGCGGAACATTGGTGGCAAAATTGGGGACGGGAAGTCCGGGGGTGTTGGCGCTTGGGCAGGCATGGAAAGGAGAAAGGAGGAGATAACACGCAGGAGAAAATGGCGGGACGAAGGTAGTAGTGAAGGCGATCAGAGAAACGGGAGGAGATTGGGGGTTAGCTGTGTTCGGCCAATGGGGTTTGTCGAGGGAGTCCTTGGTGCTCGCTGCAGAATGGGACAGCTTGGCAGGAGGAGGCCGATCTGTTGGTGAGGGTTAGGAAGAAACGCAGCCGAACTTCCTGGGAAGGGCCGGGGCTGAGGCGAGGAAGTGGAGTGAGATTGGATGAGTGCGCACAAAAAAAGGGTGGGAAGTTGGGGTTAGCTGGCGCTGAGGTTGGAGCTGAAAGTTGCAGTGAGCGCGAGATGCCACGGGGGAAAAATGTGTTATGTGATGTTATCATTTGCATTCACGTCTGTCTGCCTCCGATCACATGTTCGTGCGTTGCATGCGTGGTGTGAGCGTGTGCAAGATATTATTTGTGTTCGGTGTGGTTTGGATTCTCTGAGTGTGTGTGAATGTTTTTTGGCTTGAGCAGATATTTGAAGTGACTCCTTTGCTCAAGAGCAGCTTTCCGACGAACCAAGAATCATTGCGATCGGAGCAAGAACGACGAAGTTATAATACTAGGCCCAACGAATTTGTGATATTTCGGCCCCTAATCTTCATAGACTCTGTCCTTAGTCCCTAACAAGTGGTATCAGAGCTGATTAAGGACCTTGTGGGGAGTCTACTGAGGTGTGAAGACCCTTCTAGACCTACCATGGCCTGTGGGCGTGTAAGTGGAGTTCTGGAGGCTGCAAGTGACTTCCGCTAAGGGGAAACTCTGCCGAAATTTCGTTGGCGCCGACACTTGTGGAAATTGAGTGGGACTTCGGTGTGGACAGCAAAGGGGGAGCTGGAACATATGATTGGGAGCAGAGGAAATGATTCAAGGGAGTGGAGATGCAGCTGAGAAGAGGAATGAGCCGCCACCATCCCAGATCGAAGCAATGGATGGCTCCAACTATGAGGAATGGAGAGGGCGGATGAGGAGCGCCTTCAAGCGCTACAAGTTGCTGAAAATTGCGATGGGGGAAGAGAAGATGCCGGAGAAAGGCGATGCCCGCGATCGATAGATTGAGAAGTGCGCGGTACTATACGACCTCATCCTCCAATCTATCAACAACGAGATGTTGCAGCACATCAAGGACTTGGTGGAGTTAGATGATTCCGGACCAAAGGCGTGGAAGCTGCTACGCGACGTGATTCAGCCCAACACGCTGCAAATGGTGATTGTATTGGAGAAGGAACTGGCTGCCTGTTGAGTGATGCTATCATTCGCATTTACGTCAGTCTGCCTCCCATCATATGTTTGTGCGTTGCATGCGTGGTGTGAGCGTGTGCAAGAATTTGTGTTCGGTGTGGTTTGGATTCTCTGAGTATGTGTGAATGTTATTTGGCTTGAGCAGCTATCTGAAGTGACTCCTCTGCTCAAGAGCTTTCCGACGAACCAAGAATTGTCGCGATCGGAGCAAGAACGAAGAAGTTATGTTCGTTCGAAGTTTTGATCGGGATGCGACGACTTTGGAAGTTCGTTGAGTAAATCAATATGGGGTACAGACTTTTGGGGGTTGGGAAATTCGTCCTCATCACTGTAGATGCTGCCAAGTGGTTGGGAGAAACCAAATTGGGTTGGCTGGTTGATATGGGACTTGACCAGCCAACAGCTGACTGTGTCAAGGGATGTGAAGTTCCTGGAGTCCTTGTACTACAAGGAGTGGAAGAAGCAGCAGCAGAAGCTTCCTGCTACACCACTGATTGTGGAGGCCGATGAGGTGCAGCGGCCTTCGAGGCAAGTGGAGGTTTCTATCTCCAAGGAGTAGATCTCTGGGGTGACTGAGGATGGGGGAGAACCTGAGGTGGAGGAGCAACAGCAGCAGCAGCAACAGCAGCCGCAGCAACAGCAGCAGCAGCCGCAGCAGCAGCAGCAGCAGCAGCAACAGCAGCCGCAGCAACAGCAGCAGCAGCCGCAGCAGCAGCAGCAGCAGCAGCAACAACGTGCTCCACCACGTGCCCCACGCCCGCCTGACCGTCCTGCAGGGATGTGCGCCCACCTGTCAGGCTGAGCTATAATCAGAGTGGCTCATGGAATGTGGAGCATGCTGGAAGTGTGGCCGAGCAGTGTGATGAGGAGGAGATAGCACACTGCTACTGATCAGCCGTCCCTGAGCCCAAGACGCTAGCTTGAGGCATTGAGCGGGCCAGATGCTGAGAAGTGGAAGCAGAGTGTGAAGGAGGAGTATGACTCTCTGCTGGAGAATGAGACTTGGGACTTGTGCAAGCTGCCTCCCGAGAAGAAGGCAATCTCTTCGAAGCTAATCTTCAGGCACAAGTATGGACCTGAAGGGGAGCTGACCCGCTACAAGTCGAGGCTTGTGGCTAAGGGGTTTCAGCAGACGAAGGGAAAGGGCATCGATGAGATATTTGCACCTGTGGGGAAAGGGACAACACTGAGAGTGTCATTGGAATTGGCTGGAAACTCTGGATGGCGGGTGAAGCAGATGGACATTACCACCGCCTTCCTCAATGGGATCAATATGGAGGAGCTGTACATGCTGCAGCCTGAGGGGCTGGATGATGGGAGCGGCAGGGTGTGCAGGCTGAAGAAGGCCATCTATGGCCTGAAGCAGGCTCCTCGTGCATGGTACCACAAGCTATAGGAGACACTGCTGGCTGGGGGTTTTAAGAAGAGCGAGTGTGATCACAACTTGTTTCTGCTACAAGAGAAGGAGCAGTTCCTCATGCTCCCGGTGTACGTGGACGACATCCTTCTTTTCTCCGAGTCGTCTGCGATGATTGAGCGTGTGGAGGAGATGCTGGAGATGCAGTTCAAGTGTTCCTAGATAGGAGATGTGAAGTACTATCTGGGGATGCATGCGGAGAGAGACCTGGTGAGGGAGTGCCGAATACCATTCTTCTTCAGCCACAACCCAAACTCCTTGCTCAGGAACTCTCCCCCTCGATCGGTGCGGATTGACTTGACTAGACGGTCTTGTTGCCACTCCACCATCAGGAACCAATCCGTCTTCAACGTTTCAGCCACGTCGCTCTTCTTGGCCAGCACGTACACCCAAGTCATGCGGGTGTAGACGTCGACAATGGTGAGAAAATACTCAGCTCCAGCAGCTCCAAGCTTCAGGGGGCCCACCACGTCCATCACCACCTCATCAAGCGGTGCCTTTGCCGTTGCCTCCGAACTAGGGAACGGAAACCGGGTGAACTTGGCTTGAATGCACGTCGGGCAGCCAAGCACCTCATCGGGCTCCCCCTTCACACGTATGCCAGCAACCATCTCATTCTTCACTAGCTGCTGCAAGATGGTCAGGGCCACATGCCCCATGCGCCGATGCAAGGTGAGCCAATCACACTCCCCCGTAGCCGAAGTTGGATTGGAGAATGCTGCGCTCGCAATAGCGCCCCACATACTCTCTCCGTAGTCCTCCTCCGCTGCTGCCTCTGGGTTCTCCTCACCCTTTTGCTGCTCCTTGGTTGCTGCACCACTCTCCTTAGGTTCACTGAACTTGCTGGTCCCTCCAGGTTTGCTCTTCTTGAGCTCATTCTCCTTAGCGCGACCGTTCGCGCCATCGTCGCTACCGACCGCTCCATCCTTGGTGCTGATGCTTGCTGCCACTTGCCTCTCCTTAGGCATAGGGACCACTGGGATCTGCCACATCTCGTTGTAGACATCCCTGTCCTCATGAAGGTCCCAAAGTATTCGATCGCCAAGCCTTGCGGTGTAGGTCTTGGCTCCCTTCGAGTTCGTGTCCATGCCGGCCTTTGCCAACCGCCGCACGGAAATCAGGTTTGCAGCAAGGCTGGGCACCCAAAGCACGTTCTTGAGGCCCACCATCTTCCCATCAGCACCCTTGAACATGGCCTTGCCCATGCCTTTCACCTCTGCTCGCTGCCCCAAAGCCGATGTGACATGCTTCACCGGTGACGGCTCGAGTTCGGTGAGCAAGTCCGGGCGAGGTGTCATGCTATAGGTAGCGCCACTATCAATCACCCAATAGTCCAGGGGGTGTAGGTTCACCTTCCCCACAGCTGCTGGCTCCTCAAAGCCTTCATCCTTCTCTGGACCAGCCGGTACTTGCGTCGACACGAAGTAGAATAGACCCGGGTATCGATCGTCGCTCGGGTCCTTGTCGTTGTCTCCGCTCTTCATGTTTGCAGCTCCGCCACCGCGACCGCCACGGCCTCCACGGCCTCGTCCTCTCCCTCCTCCTGCTCCTCTACCCTCTTGGCCTTGAGCAGGGGTCCAACCATCAGGGAGTTTGTAGCAGTCGCGCCACATGTGTCCGCTCTTGTGGCAATAGTGACACTCGCCGTCGAATCGGCCGCGACCGCGTCCGTAGCTCTTGTCGTCGCTGCCGTAACCGCCACTCCTGCGGCCTCCGCCGAAGTTGCTGCCACCAAACCTTCCTCCCCCTCGT